TTAACCACAATATTCTCGGTCTCTATTGTTTTGAGTGAGGCCCAATATTTCCACAGCAGGATTATAGGATCTGATTAACCATGTTAGACAACAATGCTGAGCTGGGATGGGCTTCCCCTTCCAGCTGCCAATATGAAAAAGTAAATACAATACCCAGATTTCAGAAGAGACTCCCAGGGGCCCCCATACCCTGCTCCCCAATTCTAACCCAACTACTGTTTTTGGTCCCAAAATGAGGGGTGGGAGAAAGAGTTCGCACAGCATGCTCCTTTAACTACTGGCCCTTGGCCCAGCAGGACAAATAATCCTGGCACAATCTTCCCAGGTGAGTCAATGGCTGTGTGCTCCCCACACCCTGGAGTTCTTCCAATGCCTTTTCCAGGTTCCCCTGGTAGGCTCTCAGGAACCCATAAGAGTTGGGTGCTGAGAGGCTAGCACTCATTCAAAGGGGTCCGGGGGGGTGGTGGTGGAAGGATAGCAAAATCTGTTGGGCTCTGGATAAACAAACTGAGTGGGGGTGGGACTTAACAGGTCAAAAGGGCACTTGAGCTTTTGCTAGAATAGTTTGGTGCTACCTAACGACTTCCTATGTGCCACAGTAGAAAAATGAGACCAGAACCACAGAGCTGAGGAGATGCATAAAGGGCCACCATGAAGAAAGTTTCAGGAATTGAGAAAGTATTCCTCAAAGGTTCTGGGAGGAAAGACAGAGGATAGATGGACTTCCAGCTCCTCAAACAGAGGGGAATTCCCCAGGGTCCCACTCACTCACACACAGACCTTGTACCCTCCCCTCGCTGGATGTTTCTACTCAGGGTGGGATCTTCTGAGGCCCTGGCCAAGAGAACAAGGAAGAAACATACAGCAATAAGGAGCCCTGGACAAGAGTATCCTTTAGCAGCTTCCAGGGGATCCACAGCAACTAGGGAACCGCCCCCTCCAAGGTGTGGACTCCCTTTTCTTCCTGCATTTCCCTCTATATCTAAGGGCCTCATACAATCTGTTACAATTTTGCCAGACCCTATATTTAAGGATGGATGTTGGTAAGAGGGACTAGGGACCAAGATTCTTGAGCTCTTGAGTTTGGTGGTGTCCTTGAAATATGTCACTTTACTCCTTTTGAACAGTTTCTTCTTGAGGAAAATTAGAAGACAGAAACTACTTCAGAGCAGAGCTTAGAAAAACATATCCTGATTGTGTCAAAACACAATATTGCTCCCTTTAGCAGTATAATACCACCACAGTGATATTTTCTGAGTTAGGGTTAAAAATTGACCGTGTTCTCAAAGAATATAGTCTAATAAAAGGATGAAAACAAAAAAACACATAGGAAATGTGTCTATTGATAGCATAAATAGTGAGGGCGTAGGCAGAACAGACGAAGTGAGCTTACCACATCATGAGGAAGAGTTAAGAGGATTTGTTTCCTCTGTACTCTTTGGAGCAAATCTTTCTAGTTTTTTAAGTAGGAGAAAATGAGGGGCAGAATAAGTATACAGAGGAAAATGCCCCTGGTGACAATGTCAGGAAAGAGACCTAATCCAGAACCAGGAGGAGAGGCACAGCCCTTCCCATTCCCCACTCCTCTGGCCGTTTTTGGGCAGAGAGTACACCAGGGCTCCTGCTTACCTCTCAACAGACCTGGGCTAAGGAGGAGGTAGGGGCTTGGAAAAACAGGAGGTGTAAACTAATAGGAAGGAAAGAAAAGGGAATCCAAATGTACCAGAGGATAAAAACAAGCAGCAGCAGTGCTGAGCATTCAGGGGACATAGCACCTCCTTCCCCAGTGCTCACTGTGGGTGTACACATCAGGCCCATGGAGGGTCTTGGCCTGAAGGAGCTAGATTCTTTCTCAGTCCAGAGCGCCAAAGCACAGATCTCACTCTTTGCCACCTTACACCCCAGGAATTCCAGGGCTAGCTCGTCAGGACTCAGGGGAAGAAGACTAGAAGCTTTCTTCCTCCCTTCTCAATAACTTTACTATCCTTCGGAAACACTCCTTGATCTGGGAGACTGGCTGCCTGGTGACAGGAGAGGAGAATGACCCTGGTGGGATTTTCCAGGACCCAGCTTGGGCTCTGCTTTTAAGGACTGCTGGGAAAGCCCCCCATGAGGCATGAGACTAGGAGGTGTTACCCAGCCAGAGTGCAAAGGAACGATGGTTTCTCTCCCAGCAAACAGGTCCCTGACCTAGCTGACTGGCGGGGCTTGGGGGGGGGAGGACCAGCCAGCAAGGACAACTAGGCCTTGCAACCTAGGTGGCGCTATTTCTCTACTTTTTAGGTCAAGTTCCTACAGGAACTTCCTCGAGGTCCCAAGTCCTGCTCCTGGTTTGCTGGCTTGCTCGTGTAAACCACCTTATATTATTTTTTTTTCTAAAAATACTCCAAAGCAATTGAAAGAGTCCCTTCTCCCACCAGCCAGCCCTGGCCCCAGCCCCGGCCCCGGGGAGCGGGCGGGTAGGCGGGGAGGTGGGCCACTGCTTTATTAAACACAGGGAAAACTAATATTTACGGAATAAAATTTATGGAGCAGCCACGAGAATTCGACCCTTTTATGTGCATGTGGAGTGGGGGTTGGGCCAGGCTGGGAGGGGCCCAACCCAGGGGGCAGGGCTGGAATATAGCCTGGCTAGGCCAATTTGTCAAAGCAGGGATTTCCCTGGAGTTGCCCTGGGATGAATGATTCTCAACCACCACCCCTAGCTTTGAGGGGTAAGGGCTTCAGGGCAAGAATGCCTGAGGCAGGGCCTCTGGCAGCAGTGTTTCTCCAAGAATGTATTTCAGCAATACTCCCATGGAGGCAGCAACCTTTGGGAATAAAAGGGGCAGTGGACAGGAAGGTTACCAGGCATACTCTTACTTAACCTTTTTAAAAGTCACACGTTCTTTTGAGAACATTAACAAAGTTATTATGCTCTTAGGATTTTCCTTACAATTTTAGGAGATTCATAGGCTCCTAGTCCCTCTATGATTAAAAATGCATGCTCTTGAGATTGTGCTTTTAAGGCAGATGGATTTTCTAGGGTGAAGAACCCATACTTTCTCCACGCTTGCTGGGGAAGCCTTTCTATCTAAATTATGCTGAAGGGCTGGCCCGTGGCTCACTTGGGAGAGTGTGGTGCTGATATCACCAAGGCCACAGGTTTGGATCCCTATATAGGGATGGCCGGTTAGCTCACTTGGGAGAGCGTGGTGCTGACAACACCAAGTCAGGGGTTAAGATCCCCTTACCGGTCACCTTTTTAAATAAAAAATTTTTAAAAATAAATAAATTATGCTGAAAAGAAACTAAAGTACAAAGTGAGCCAGCTCATAGATAATTTTTACAGAGCTCTCAATTCACTCTGATGACAGTCACTACCACAGGGCACACCCTGGGGTACTGTGGTCTGAAAGTAAAGAAGTTATCAGAAGCAACTGAGAATGAGCTGTGGTGGAGTTCCCAGACTCTGCTAGCAGGAAAAGGCATGGAGTAGGTTTCTGGAGTCCTCAAAAGCTCCTGACTTGAAGAGCCCACAAGGAGTGGAGCAGCCTATTGAAAGGAAGCAGGGTCATAGGATCAGGATGGTTACAGTGGAAGACTGAAAAGAACCTCACATCCTTCCTGCAAAATGTTCTCAGTAATGTATTTAATAATGCTGTTAAGAACGCAGCTGTCTGGATTCAAATTCTGGCTGATGCTTATTAAGCCATGTGATCTTTGATAAGTCATTTAATCACTTCAAGATTCAATTTCCTAGTGAGTTCACAGTATCTTCCTCAAATGATGCTGTGAGGATTCCATGTCAGGCACTCATTAGAGTACCTACTATATACATTAACTGCTCAATAAATGTTACCTGTTCATTAATGCTTTTTTTTTTGACTGGTAAGGGGATCGCAACCCTTGGCTTGGTGTCATCCGCACCATGCTCAGCCAGTGAGCACACCGGCCATCCCTATATAGGATCCGAAACTGTGGCCATCAGCACCTCACTCTCCCGAGTGAGCCACGGGGCCGGCCCCATCAATGCTGTTCTTTTATAATTATTTTATTATTGCTTGGATCATCCATTCCTCATGACTCGACATCAGGATAGGAACACCAGTCCCAGCTAGAGACGATACACAGATGAGGAAACATTAGACCATCAAAAGTAAATAAACCATAAAAGGTCTCTGTATTCCACTCCTGACCCCTTCCTTTTACCGGACAGCTTCCAATAAACATCGACATCAGGATAGGAACACCAGTCCCAGCTAGAGACGATACACAGATGAGGAAACATTAGACCATCAAAAGTAAATAAACCGTAAAAGGTCTCTGTATTCCACTCCTGACCCCTTCCTTTTACCGGACAGCTTCCAATAAACATCTGAGTTCTACTTTTGTTCCTACCTCTCCAAGGTAAAGTTTCACATGGTCTTACCTATAGAAGAAAACCTAGCAGAGAAGGTCAAGGACTCTGCCAATCCTGGGGTGCCAAAGAGTTGACTTTCTAATAATCTGCCTATCTCACACAGCCTTTACATTGCTTCCTGCTAGGCACTCCTAGCTCTATAGCCAATTCTGTTGTCCCAGGGAACTCCTGTGCTCATTTCCTGTTCCCTGTCATCCTTTCCTAGTTATTCTAGTTACTATGTTATTTGAAGTGGAGTGGAGAATGAGAAAGTAAAATTCCTCTTTCTCCCACCCCACTGGGAAACAGCCTTGGCCCTACTGCTCGAAGTTCTTTGTAATTTCAATCCCACACTGTGGTTTAACCTGTTGTCTAGGCCTTGGAAACAAGACAGAAAAACACATCCAAGTTTGGCAATGGAGAGCAGCAGCCATCTCTCTGTCTTGTGCCCAACATGGAGAGAGTTCTTGAGATCAAAGTTTCCAAATGGAGGCTTAGCTCAGGCCACAGCAGAGAAGGATTGGGCTGAGGGTACAGACTTCATCCAGAGACAATAATGGAGCAGGGCCCAGTAAAGTGAGGTGGGTTATGAGTTCCACAGAATAAGTAATCTCAAAAGCAGGGGAGTATGAGTGCTTTTTATTCCATGCTACAGGGAGAAGGGGATCTCTGAGGAGCATTTGGGACTGGCAAGGGACTCTTGAGAAAGGTAGACAAGGCTTCCTGAGCATATGTGACTTTTTGCTGACCTGCCCTACATACCTAAAATCCATGGTGGGTCCTGGGTCTGGAGAACCTCCACCAAAAAGAGAGAAAGGTATGGGATTCCCAGAGACTGGCTTCCACTTGAATAGGGAAAGTCCAATGCCCAGTGAGTTGGGGCCAAGCTTCCCTTGGTTAACAGTCCCCATTCAGGTGGCCTGTCAACATGAACTTCAGTTCTCTTGCCCTTACAGTGGGCCTCTGACTGTATAAATTGGTTTCAAAGATACTGCTGCCATGCAAGCCCCTTACAAGGTGATACATGGAAGCTATTCTCCAGTCCATCTGTAGCAGCCAACATTAACTGAAGAGTCCCCTTGGCTTCTTCCTCTTGACCTTTGACAGCTGAGGTCTCTGCATAGGTCCTGAAGTACCCTATGGAAAAAGAAACCCAAATTAACAGGGGTTTTAAAATAGTTCCACTTAAATTAGTAAAGGGACTTTCTTCCTCTCATGGCTCCTTGGTTAGTATGAGGTCTTTTTGAAGTGTCTTACATAGGTGTTTTAAAGACTATGTCAGGCAGTAAATGTGATATAAGACTCTACGCAGGAGATGCATACATTCCTTCTCCTCCAAAGAACAGGCTCACAGACTATCACTGGAAGTGGGGTAAGGTCAAAAAGAAATCAAGGCTCATCATTCGGTACAAGAACTGCAGGGGGAAGACAGCAAGGGATATGAAAGACCACAGCTCTCCATCTAGACATACACAATTTGTAAGCCTGGTCACAAATATCCCTCCATATTGGTGAAGCAGTGTCAACTAGGCAGCAATTCCAGTGACCACTGGCTTGGGAGCTGTAGATGCCAACTCCAACTCTCAGAACTCCATCCATGGGCTGGCTGGTTTTCTCAGATGGTTAGATTGTGGTGCTGACAACACCAAGATCCAGGGTTCGATCCTTGCACCAACCAGCAGCCAAAAAAAACTCAACAAAAACCAAAAAGGAACACCATCTAGGAAGCACTGCTCATGACTCACTGTGGGCTCTTTCTCAGACACTGAGAGGGTTGGTGCTGAGGAGATCGGCTGTTCTGGCTGGTTCAGAAATTGGCTATCAGTTCCTTGTGGGGAAGCACTGCTTGAGGTCTGAGGATCTCCTGAAATCAGAAAGATCAGGAGAAGATAGTAATAAATGCCTTCTTCTTACCAGGAAGACATTAGCATTTACCAAGCACTCTGATGAAGGCCAGGGTTTGGCACTAATACATAAACAGACAGAAGTAGGCACAAATCCAACTTCTAGCTCACTTTCAGAAAGCCCTGTTTCTACTGTGAAGATTCCCCAGACCTACTTTCAGCAGGTAGGATAAGAGTTTCCTCAAAATATCCATCTGTTCCTGTACACATTCCCTGACATGTCTCAGGCAGGGAGATTAATCTTCCTCCTGGTTCTCTCATTAACCCTCCTAGGCACCTAGACCAGTGCGGTCTAATAGAACATTTTGCAATGGTGGAAATGTTCTATATCTGCACTGTCCAACCTGGTAGCCACTACCACATGTGGCCACTGAGCACTTGAAATATGGCTACTGCAAATGAGGAAATAAATTTTTAATTTAATTTTTATTCATTTAGATTTAAATAGTCAAACATGGCTAGAGCTATTATATTAAACAGCACACACCTAGGCCTTAACTCTAACCTCACACAGACCAGGTACTTCTGGAGCTACTCACCAGTGCCTTGATGCTTCTGTCCCACTTGGACCTCTTGTTTGGTGACTGCCATATACAGACTCTGCAGATTCATGACAAAGTGCCTTCCATCACTAACAATACATGCCTCTGGTAGTTTCTATAGAGGAGAGGAGATGCTGTCATTGGTTACACTGTATGACCTGAGAAAAGGGATCTGATACCCCACTGGCAGAACTGGCATCAACCCCAAATAAACTGATATAAAGTAGTTAGATCCAATATAGGACATCCATATATAAGCCTGTTTGGACCAATATAAAGACTTCTTGAGAGGTCTTCTCCCCTGAAAGGCAACTTCAAATGTATATCTTTATTTTCCCCAATCCTTAGGCCTATTATGTCTTCCCATGAATGTCCCATAGGTCTTTAGGCTCTTTCTTCCAAAGGGATAACCTTTTAGAGGGCTGTTTTAGGAAATCGTCTTCCCTAAATTGTTCCTGAGCTATACAGATTACTAGTTTAATTAAATTCACCTCTAAACTTCCACACTAGGGTGAGAAAAGGATGAAATTCAGGATAGGGGTAGAGAGCAAAATGGGAATGGCAGACTGAAAGATAAGAAAAAATTATGGAGCTGTGATGCTTAGTGAGAGGAGACAGGAGAAAGAAAGCTGACAAAGCTTTTGAGCCTACCTGCCATTTTATATTGTCCATTGCAGTCCCACTGTGCTTTACCATAATCCACACACTCTCAATGGGGGTGATATTCCCCCAAGGGGGTAAAAAATCACATGAAAAAACTTATTCTTTTAAAGCATAAGCCACAGATATACATATAGTATATAAACAGATTTGTGGTATATCTGTGGCATTAAAATTTCCTGAGAAGGGGTGATTAGGAAAAAATGTCTTAAAAGGTCCCTTAGGGAGGTGATAATGAAAAAAAGGTTGAGAAACACTGCTACAACTACATTATATTTATCTGTTTCCTTCACTACGGTATGAATGGTGGATTTTTATCCACAATGAAATGCTTTGCCTAGTTATAGTTTCATATACTTGGCTGAGCTGAGTTGAAGTAATGGCTGAAGACTGAACAAAGTGCAATAAAAATAAGATGAAAGAGTATGGTATACAGTGGTTCCAAACCTGGCTGCACTTCAGAATCTTGCAAAAATCCCAGAACTACTTCATCTGTCTTTATGCATGCAAATCATATGGTTCCCAGCCAAGTCAGCAGGTTCCCAGCAATGCCATCAGCTCACATGGGAACCAACCCAAGAATCCTGGATTGGCCCATATCTCATGTCAAGGGCACCTTTTCTGTGCTGTTAAGGGCATTGATTTCTGAAAACCCCTGTGCGAGAAGAATGAAAGAGAGAAAGTGTGAGACTCAGCAAAGTAGGTGCTGAACCACAGTCAAGAATATACAGTTATCCTTCCCTGAGTGGGGTGGTAGCTAAAAAACTTTTTGATCTCCAGGAAATGTAACATACATTTCTACTCCGACCCTACCCCTACAAAGACTGTATCAGGCTTGGACTTTTCACTGGAAACCACAGACAATGAATCAGGAGGCTTGAGTCCAAACTTTGCCTCTAGCCAGTAATTACACTAGGGGCTAAAAAACTTTTTGATCTCCAGGAAATGTAACATACATTTCTACTCCGACCCGACCCCTACAAAGACTGTATCAGGCTTGGACTTTTCACTGGAAATCACAGACAATGAATCAGGAGGCTTGAGTCCAAACTTTGCCTCTAGCCAGTAATTACACTAGGAGTACAACAACCCTCTTCAGCAGCATTCCCTGAGGAATGAACTGGAACAAGGAAGGCAAACTATCAGACCACACCACCTCTACCCTACCTCACAGTCCTTCCTAGGTTCAGCTCTCTAACCCCCAAGCCACCCCCTCCAAAAGAAGGTCCTCTTCTCTATGGCCAGGGTGTGCTGAGAGTGGAGGGGCAAACAGCTGCTCTCCTTCCTTATATCTCAAGTCTCTAAGACCTCATTTCATATTGCTCAAGAAATGAGCCTCTCTTAGGGGTATTCATACATGGTTTGATAGGCTCTGTGCTATCTCTACAAATGGGTGAGGCAAAATCCAGGCAGTCCAGGGCCGTTTCTTCCTGCTCTTTCTATGGAACTAACAGACTCATACATTTTCCAGGGTGAACTTTACCCACCTCATGTATTCAACCTCAAAATGAAGTACCAGAAAAGAAATGCCATTAAAGCCAGTGCTGCCCTGGACCTAAATCCAAATCTACAAGCTAATCTTAGTCCTTCCTCTATCCTTCCCCTTCTTAGGGAGATCTGGTTCTGCAGCTGCTGCCAAAGGTTATTCCACCCGAGTATCTATTCTCAGAAAAGTCCTAGGAACATAATATTGCCATATTTGCCGAGTACTTACTATATGCTAGGCACTGTTCTAAGTACTTTGAATGTATCAACTCATTTTTGTCTTACTTACTACCACTTGCCTGGTATGTGGAACAACCCTTAGCCCATGGTAGGGGCTCAATAACTAACTGTGAACGAATGAACATGGTAGGCACAAGTATGACTCCATTTGGCTGAGGTAGACACAGCTTCTAAGTGCTGGAACGAGATTAGAATCCAGGCAGTCTAGCTTTAGGGACTATGCATATAATCACTACCCTATTTACTTCTCTGAACAGCCAAATTTTAGTCAAAAGGGCAATCCAGCCTCTCCCAGGATCACAACTCACAATCCCTCACATCACAGATTATCTTCCATCTAGCTGATGAACAGCTCCCTAAGGTGACAAGAAAAAAGTGAGCAGATAAAAAGGAGGCAGCTGGTCTAGACAGGAACTCTTAGGGGCTGAAATGCCATACCCTTAATCCCATTCTAGCCATTACTGATTCCTTGGGCATAGTTCTTAGAATATGCTAGGGAAGACACGTGGAGAGGCCTGAGCTTGGGAAAGAGAACAGTAGCTCCCTGGGCAGAACAATGGTAGGGGCTAGCTGGGGCGGGCGGCAGAGATCAAAGGAAGAATGCTGGAGTCAGGACTACACAAAGCAAACAGTGCCCCCTGCTATAAGTACGACTGAGCCAGGAGCATAGTGTACCAGCCATATAGTGGGTCACTGCCCAGAGTGGGGAGGGGAAAAAGAGTCGGGTCAGCCAACGTATAATGCATAACTGCTGTGTAACAGCCTACTGTATAACAGCCATCTGATTAACCCAGAATCAATTTTAGTCAGCAAAAAAAGCTATTGAGATTTACTGTGTGCTAATCCCAGGCACTACAGGAGTGGGACAGGGGAAATGGATGTAGCAATCCTCCTCTCCTCACAACAGGTCTCAGTTAATGCAGGTTAACCATCTCTCTAATCCGAAAACCTGAAATCTGAAATGGTCCAAGTCCAAAACTTTTTGAGCACCAGCATGACTCAAAGGAAATGCTCACTGGAGCATTCTGGACTTTGGATTTTCAGATTAGGAGTGCTCAATTGGTAGGTATTCTGCAAATATTCCAAAATTCAAAAAAGTCCAAAATCTGAAACACTTTTGGTCCCACGCATTTCAGATAAGGGATACTCAACCTATGCAAAGATAAATAAGTCAGAGTTCCTGCCTCAAAAAGCTTACATTCACATGAGAGAGTAAGGAGATACATGAAGGTATTTTGAAAAGTCTATGGAGGGGCCGGCCCGTGGCTCACTTGGGAGAGTGTGGTGCTGATAACACTAAAGCTACAGGTTCGGATCCCTATATAGGGATGGCCAGTTAGCTCACTTGGAAGAATGTGGTGCTGGCAACACCAAGTCAAGGGTTAAGATCCCCTTACCGGTCATTTTTTTAAAAAAAGAAATGTCTGTGGAAAAAGAGTTAAAAGATAATATGAATCTCTCCATGAACTTTTTGAAGTACCCCCATATGTTGTTTTGTTCGTTTTGCTTTTCAAGATATTTGCTATGACAGAGCTATAAACAAAGGGTGATGGGAATGCAAAGAAGAAGAAAGGGACAAATTCTTTTTTTTTTTTTTGTCCTTTTCCGTGTCCGGCAACGGATCGCAACCCTCAGTGTCGCGCCCGTACTGGACCGGGACCGGGTCCTTTTCCGTGTCCGGCAATGGATCGCAACCCTCAGTGTCGCGCCCGTACTGGACCGGGACCGGCAACGGGATCGCAACCCTCGGTGTTGCTCCCGCGCCTCGCTCAGCCAGTGAGCGGGAACCGGTCTGTATGTGGGATCCGAACCCTCGGGTGGGAGCGCCGCCGTGCTTCCCAAGCGGCGCACCATCGCAGTGCGCCACCGGGCTGGCCCAAAAGGGACAAATTCTAATCAAGAGTCCTGCAAAAACCTTCAGAGGTGGTGACATCAAGGTAGGCATTGCAAAGTTAGACTCTGAAAGTGGAGGAAGAAAGTGAGACACAAAGGTCTGAAAAGACAGGATGTGTGGATGTATCTCATGAGAAATGAGACTAGAAGGTTAAATTCACATCCATTAGGACTGCAAAGGACTTTGTTTTCTGAATTAAGGTTATGCCCATGGGAATTTCCTTTCGTTTCACAAAGTGACTTTCTCTACTATACAACTGTTTGCCGAAGTTTCCTTGGCTCGAAACTAATATTGATACAATGATGAGGAATCAGAAGCTTCCTCTAGGTTTTCCTTGTTAGGCTCTCTGTTACATTTACTTAAACCCTTTTAGTACTTCTTCATTACTTACTTCTAGTACTGTGACTTTTCAATAGCCACAAGAGCTATTACTCTTGCATCTCCAATTCACTAGGACTCTGGCTCCTACTATACAGCTATATCAGAAGCTTTAAGAATATTTTACTCTTGCATCTCCAATTCACTAGGACTCTGGCTCCTGCTACACAGCTGTATCAGAAGCTTTAAGAAAACCAAAGCTATAGAAGTCTTACTTTATCTCCTCTTCTTGTTCCTATTGCAGCCATCTTGGTTCCTAGGGCCCAAACTCCCCTCTTTAGCAGTAACCCCCATCTTTGTCAAGTCTAAAATGCACTCCCAGTGGTCCAGAAATTCTAAGACTCCCTCAGGATTTGTTGGAGATATCTTACTTGCCACTTGCAGCCAGAAATAAGTGGTCTGCCTCTCCTCCCCCCATCTCTCCTTTTCTCTGAGACTGTTTCAGAAAAGAAACCTTT